TTTTTTTTTTTTTTTTTTTTAAATTGAAAATTAATATAAACTATACTCGCATGTATCTTTGTTTCTATTGTTTCTTATACAATCTCGGTTCTTTTGTTTCATATTCAAATAAACATGTACAGATAAGCAACCTTCAGATAATTTGATCGACTTACTTTTGTTCAATCAGGTTCTTTCTCATATCCTAGTTCGAGTGATTACACTGCAGTTAACTCAATAATCATTGTTCCCGAAAACTGGAGTTATCATGTCATAATTTGACCCCATAAAGTGACAATTTTCCATTATGTCGAAATTATTTGAAAATCAACCTTTAGGCAACTATTCAGACTGATGAGTAAACTAGTTATGAATCATGACAGAGAAAATCCCCAAATACAAGGAAGATACGTTTCTATTTTGGTCAGGTGATGATGTGATAACTCCGGTCAAACACGAGTAAATTTGTCTTTGGTCGCTTCGCCGTCCATTTACTTTACACTTGCACAACCGCAGGTTTCACTTCATTACCTGATTAGAATAGAAAATTATGTCTGAAATAACTCGCCGTGTCAGTCTCATTGACGCTGATGTTTCCGACGTGAATTCTTCAGAACAAAGTATACCATGTAAATAACAGAATCTCTCCCATTTTTGTGTCAAATTAATAACAAGTTATGTAAATATTATCGGCATTTACGAGCTCATGTCTACCGTATCAATTACAAAGTATAGACATGTTACTAATAATGTGGTTTATTTTTAATACATTTGCAGCTAACGTAGCCTTAGTTAAGCCAGCTGAGCAGAGTAGCAAGCACGGACACGTTGAATGGGTAGCAAGTAAGGCTGTGGATGGCTGCACACAGACAACTATAGCATCTAACTGCTGTACACACACACAGAACAATGGTCCAAAACAGTCCTGGTGGCGTGTAAACATGGGTGACCTGATGACAATCAATAGCATCACTATATATTACAGAGGTGAGTGTTAAATTTCAGTTTGTTTAATTTGGTTAAGGCCAGCTTTATTTACATATATAGTTGTGGGGTCTCACAATGTTCCACGATGTTCACATGGCCATTTTGTAAGTACCTGGACCGCAGTTTTCCTCTTACGTTAATCGTCGAGGTGTGAAAATGCAGGCGAAGGGGGATTATAGACTGACACGAATGCAATTAACAAAACTGAACAACATCCAGTTATATGTTTCAGAGCGGTCATCTTTCTGTGTCAGGCAAAGGTCAGTTTAAACTCCGGTAATACGTATGTTATTTACCTGTTCTGCTACATTGAGACCAGGACCCATTCTTGAGATTTAGAAATATTTTGCAATACGGTTTAACACCAATTGCAAAAACATGGACATAATGTAAATTATAGTGATCAGAAGTTATATACGAGCCTTCCCGATTTTATTTTCATTCCGTAATATTGATCAACCAACTGATCGAAACGTACATTGATATGGGGAGAAGGGCAAAAAGGGGCGAGCGATTGTTAAATCGCAAGGTTGTGTACACCATGTGCAAACGATATGTAGGAGGTATGTGCACGATGTGTGTGTATGTGTGATTGTGCACACTAGTTTAGTGCGCTGTGCGGTCACACAGATGTACCTTAAATCAAAATAGTTTAAAAGTTTGTATAATATTGTTTCAAAACGAATGTCGCTTCATGTTTGAAGTAAAATGTACATATTTACGTTTTTTTTTTCATTTCTCAAATAACTTGAATTTTTAAAAAGAAGACCAATTGAACATTAAAAACAACATGCTAATGATGACTTTATGACAGTCAGTGGAATTAACTTGTTTACGTATTACTCGGATGTTTATATAGGAAGCATGCGCCGAAGCTGTTTATGTAAATGTTGAAATATAAAGTTTTAGTTAGGATGTATTTTGTTAATATGTGTATACGCAAATGCGATTATACTTCGAAATATGTCGGCCAGTAGGGGTAGGAATTAGTGGATAGGTGTTGAATAGTCGTTGTTTGTAGAATGTAATAAATGGATGAGCAACGGGCTTTTATCCCAAATGAGCAACGAGCTATTATCCCACTTATGTTTTGTGCAATCGTTTGAATTTAATTGTTTTATATTCGGACGAAAATAACGAGAAGGAATATAATTTAACTCATTTACAATATCAATTTATGATATGATATAGTATTTGTGGTTGATTATTAAATCGTGCATTTGTTTTACAAAAGAATACTTGATAGGCTGTAAAGAACTACTTTAATAGAAAAAAAACGAGTCGTCTTTAACATGGTTACCTGTAGACTCTACGGTAATTAGAAGATATGTTGTAATACCTGTCTATAAGTGTCCGTATATAGACTATAGGAAGAGAGGGACAGGTAAGAAAGTATTGATCTCGAAATACTGTAAAATTGGGGACACTTTTTATTTTGAGGTAAGGAAGAGAAATCTCAACATATTTCGTTGATCTACTCTGATGGTAGAGAATTATCTCATTCTTCTCTAACATGTGCAAGATAAATGTTTCTTGCATACTAGACCGAGATATCCGCATTTCCGGTGGTGCTGGAAAAGACTATCCGCCCCATGGGTCTAGATCGCTTACACGCGCAGACTGGCGGGGGAATTAAATTGACCTTTCGTGGTCACGCTATTGTTCGTGACGTCATTTTATGCCGTTTTGGGGTCAGTCAGGGTCATTGACGTCATTAACAATTGTCATCCGTGCTGCATATGCAAATGAGAAATTCGCGGACATTTTGCAACTTTACTAGAGCAGCTGTTTTTACGGGTTTTAGGTAATAAGCAAGAAATAGAATCCACCGAGAAACATCATCGTCAAGTTTACACATCGACGAAAAAGGAACGAGGTCATCAAAGCCCGCTATAAATTGAAGAAAACTGGATATACGGTGTTTGAGGATCTCACGATGATCAACCAGCAGATCCTCAAGGACGCGTATAAGCTTCAGTGTGTGAAGAACTCGTACAGTACGGACGGTAAGCTTTTCGCTATACTGACTGATGGTAGAAAGAGAAGGCTCCAGTTTGGCACACCACTCACAGACAATTTTCTTAAGGAAGATTCCAACTTTGTGTAAATGTATATTTATTGCATAGTGATCGGTAATGGACTAGGCACGACGGTGCCGCCAGGAATTACCCTGGTTTTACCGATATAACGACAGTGTTTGGATAGTGTGTGTAAATTTGTATATCTGTGATTGTGTCATTTCTTTTGGAAAATTTACAGTGAGTGTTTTGCTTAATCTTGTGTATGGGATCTATTATTCATATACGTCGGTAAGTCTATACAAGTTTCATTTATCTATCTTGTTGATTGACTACTAATTAAAATTATTATTTTTATATATATATATCGAAAAAAA